ACTCTGAAACATGAAGACAGATAATAAAACTTGAAGTCTGTTTCTTAACATTACTTCTCTGAAAGCAAATTCACTGAAAAATAATTTGCTATGCTTACTTGCTTTGTTGATTTTCCAAAAGCATGTTTAAGAATAATATTTTTGCCTGGCCAGCGTTGCTCAGTGGTTGAACCAATTCACTGATTCAATTCCTGGTCAGGGCACATGCCCAGGTTTCAGGCCCAATCCCCAGTGGGGGGCATTCAGGAGGCAACGATCAATGTTTCCCTCCCATAGATGTTTCTATTTCTCCCTTTTCCTTCCTCCCTCTCTAAAAATCAATTTAAAAATGTATGTTTTTTTAAAAAGAATAATATTTTAAAATATATTCAAAGAATTTGAGTATAGATTCCTTAGGAACATATTTTTTTCTTGAAAATTCATTTAATATTCCTTAAAACAACTTTTTATGAATTGAGTAAATATGGTACATTTTGTGAATTACTCATTTGATATTTGATCCTTTGGCAATGACATTTTGTGAAATTGGCCTTTGTCAGCTTTTGTAAATTGGTTTTGAGTGAAACAACTAGCTTCCATATAGCAGAGAACATTATGTCACATGATATTGTAGAATAGTGTAAAACAAAGAATTATTTAGCATAGGGCAGTTGTCTCAACCAAAGAAGATTATGTTTCCTAGTGGACATTTGGCAATATCTGGAGATGTTGTTTGTTGTCCTAACTTATGGAATGAGGATGCTATTATGTCTAGCAGGTAAAAACCAAGAATACTGCTAAACATCCTATAATGGACAGGACACTCCCACCTCTCCCCCAAAATGTCAATAATGCCAAGGTTGAGAAACCCTGAGACACAGAAGATATCTTCTTCTAAATCTCTTCTACATCTCTCTACAACATTTGGGGTAGGTGTCCCCATCACACAACCTTATAATTAAGAGTGATTTTTATTTCATTTGAATGTGTTTTGTTTTTTGAGCCTAGTAAATACTTAGAATGAGTCAATGGATAGGAAACAGGTGCTGAACAACTGGGTTGGGTTCTTGGGATATACAGTCTCATATGGCCTTTGGATATCTGGCCCCAAGGGAAGCATGCCTACAAGCAGAGTCAAGGCTGTAAACTCCAAATTTTTCTGAGTTATACTTTCAGCCTCTTCTAACCACATTTGGCTCTTTAGATAAAAATATGTGTTTTATAGGACCTATGAGAAAAACAGGTGCTCTTTCCATGACCCCCTCCCTATGTCATTTATAATATAAATGTCAAGGATAAGAAGAGAAACTAGAAAGGGAGTGGAAGTGGCTCGTTTTCTCACCTCTCCTCTCCTATATTCTCTCTTCTCTCCCTTTCTGTACAGACTACAGAATTTCTTTCATAGAAAGAAGAAATATTTGGCTCTAAAGGAACTTACAGGTTGTTCTAGCAAAAGTACAGAACCAAAGAAATGAGGAGGGTACCAACAGTACATGTAATAAGTGTGAACAGTTTTGAACTATTTAAACAAGCCCTGAAGTCCAGGAAAGAAAGAATGCTCAGTCAGAAGAGAGTGTCTCTACTTCCAAAGATAAGATTGGCCCTAACACCTAATCCCAGAGGAGAGCCTTCACCAAGGTCTGTCCAGTAGAGTCTAGGTGCTGAAGGTAGAAGAAGTCATAAAGTTGAGGTTCCTCCAGTGACTAGCATGTCCTATCCTCCCAGGACCACCAGTTGAAAATAGCCAGAGAAAGGAAATGTGGCTGGTATCTTGGGAGCATTTTTTTTCACTTCCCTGGAGTCAAAGCAAAAAGAATGGAAACACAAAGATGAATACTATGGTTTTAGTGGAGGGAACAAATGGCTTGAGTAATGAGGAGAAAGTCCAGCACTTCCCTTTACAGGACCAGCCACTTTTGAACAGCTGGGATTTCCTAAGCTTGGACTTCAAGATTAGAAGGAAAATAACCAAAGTGTAGGTTAAATCAGCTGAACAAGGGAGGAGACAGTGATGTCATCCTGACTTGTCTCTAGCCTGTTTGAATGAAGGAACAGAAAATGGAGCAAAATGTCAGAGTTGGAAAAGACTTCAAAAGTTGTCTAAATTTACACTCCTCTTTTGGAGGTGAGGAAATAGACATGCAGAGTCTAAGACACTCACAGATTGTCACACACACTAGTAAAAATCAAAACCCAGCCATCCCACTTCCAAACTGGTATTCTTTTGACCCCATTACCATTTTTGGATAAATACCCTATACCCCATGCACACTTGACTAAAACACCTCTTTTTTCACCATTGTTCTGTAGATAATATTTGAAACCTAACACATGACAGTGTAAAGATGAAATACAAGGTAAGAAATACTAGCAAATTATGTATGGAATTTATACAAGACTATAAAAGCAAATCCAAGTTATTAGCCTCATGGAAAACTGCTAGGAATTGAACATACAAATATTTCTGGTTATTTTTCTATGAGTTGGCCTTCCAATTAATGCAGTAGTAGCCTTTAGTATATGGTATTGGTGCCTTAAAGGCTTAAACCAATTAAAATAAATTTCTAATGAAAAGTTGTGATGTGAACTCCAAAAGGCAAATGTGTCCATATGGAATCTATTGTTGAGTTGGGCAACTGATAGTGGTTGCAACATCTAGAATATTGTGAGGATATAACTATGACCGGGTTAAGTGTAGATGATCAGAATTGAGCCAAAGCTTTCAATGCACAGTCATATAATCTTACTTTAATAAGACTCATGAGATTATCCCTAGAGTAACACCACATGTTCTCTTGAGCACAATAAATAGTCAACTGATCTCTTTTTCCAATTTCAGTCAGCTCTGTAAACAATATGATAATTAAAACATTGGATTCCAAAATTTTCAGCTGCCTTCTTATTACTTTCTAATACCATTCCCATCCTCTTCACAACATCCAAAAATGACCTACATGTAGGTTTACTTATAACTAATTGTGTTCACCAAATATATCCTCAAAATTCCTACAACACTCTTTCTAAAAGGAGTGACAAAGGAGTCATGAATAATCTTAAGTATCTCTTAAAATATCAACTCAATATTTTGAGTTTTGAAAAAGTGACCAATTTGCCAGGGTGTCTTAATTAACATCTGATGAATTTTAATACATCTGGGTTTTTTTTTTTAGTGTTTTGGAATATATAAAAATAAAAACTGGCATCTTTGTTGTGATCCCCAGAAAACCTATCGTTCCAGAGAAAGCCAGATTACATCATGAAACTGTTGCAAAGGTGTAAATGACATTGTTTTGAGTAGCAAAATCAAGTCTCATATGTAGTCTCAGGTGTTGGATGGTGCTTTCCAAGAAAGGACTAAAGACAGTGGAATAAATTTTTATCATCAACACTGGCTGAGTCTACTTCCCAGGCCCTCTCTATGAGAACACATGAACTCAAGTGGCTAAATTATAAAGCCTTTTACTGATATTATTACAGTCTCCTATGCACACTTTCCTAGATTTAAAGGGGCATTTAGAATTAGGATTGTCATCTAGCCACACAAATACTTTTAACAATTGTTACTCTGATGTCTAGGAGCATATAAAGATTAGGCCAAATAAGAAAATAACAGGGGCACTATTGTTATAAACTACCAGGTAGTTTACATGCCCCTCAGGTGTCTATTTCTCTTCACCAATCACCGAGCAGTGCCCACTTACGAAAGCCCCAGCTCCCTTGCTCTGCATGGGGATAGCTATGAGATATGACTTATGCTCTACAATTGCTCTATGGGATCAAGCTGTAGGAGTTTGCCTAAGATTGTACAATTGCTGGGATTTTTTTCCCTTCCTGGTCTTGGTTCTCCCACTCCTTCCCAGTTTCCCTGGAGCACTTCCTATTATAAATAAACGTATATACCACTTTTCAACTCAGGGTCTGCTCCTGGGGAACCAACCCAACACAGTTGTTTACATTGTAAAAATTGGTATGCTCCACATAATCCAGAATTCTAGCTTTTCTTGAAATATGGGAAGATCGATGGCAACATGGAGCCAACATTTTCATATGTTAACAATCAGTGTATAAATGTTCAGGTTCACCACTGCCTTCACCCACCCATCCCACTCATTTCAGTCACCTGCCTGCCCTGTTGGCTTTCAAGTTGGCCCCATGTAATAGGCAGAGAGAATCATGGCACCTAAGATGTCTACTTTCTAAGCACCAGAACTTGTGAATATATTACAAGCCAAAAAAGAATTTTCAAATGAGGCTAAGGGAGTAGAGCTTGAGATGAGAGGAGTACCTTTGATTTTTAAAATGGGCCCAATCTAATCATATGAGGTCTTAGGAGTGGAGAAGCTTTATCAGCTGTGGTCATAGAAACATCAGGACATCACTGGCTTTCAAGATAGAGGAAGGTGGGCCACAAACCCAGCCTTTGAACCTCAAAAAGAGCAAGGAAAAGGATTCTGTCATAGAGATTCCAGAAAGCAATACGGCCTTTTTTAGATCTTGATTTTAGCCCAGGGAGGCCCAAGTTGGACTTCTGACCTACAGAACTGTAATATAAGTTTGAGTTGCTTTTAAGCCACAAAGTTTGTGATAATTCATAACAGCAGCTATAGAAAACAAATATACTCCATGAAGCAGAGATTATATCTGTCTTCTTTTTTCATCATTTACCAGAGTTCCTGACATTTAAAAGGCATTAAAAAATGTGTGTTGAATTATTGCATTATTATAACTTTCTCAAGCTTTAAAGAGTAAACCTTTAGTAAATAATAGAGATCCAATTTGTTTATTTTACGTTTTCTATAAATATAGAAACTTCTATTACAACTCAGCCAGAACCTTTTAATACTGAGAAGAAATTGTCATCTTTTCCATTGACCTTCTCTAAACAATACAGGCTTTTGATTATTTTACTTTTTGTACTTTTTAAAATTGTGTGTTAAGCAAAATGCTAAGAATGGATGATAGCACTGTAAAGACTAAAAAATGTAGAAATGTCTTCCCCATAAAATGGGTAATAAAACTCTTTCAGGTCCGGGGGTAAAGAGAAGCATGGAGATTCTGTGGTGACTTGACGTGGTTAATCTGGTGGCAGAGGTATGTATCTGAGGTAGACACAGAGCTTGCAAACATTTTTCATGTCCCCCAATGGCTATTTACTATTTCTGTAGAGAGGGAGTAATATGGAGGTGGATATCTGGTAATAAAATAGGTAGGGAAAAGAAATTATTCTGACTTGTAGCATAGAAATTGCCTTTTCTTTTTCTTTTCTTTTTTAAAAATATATTTTATTGGTTTTTTATAGAGAGTAAAGAAGAAGGATGGAGAGTCAGAAAAACCGATGAGAGAGAAACATTGATCAGCTGCCTCCTGCACACCCCCCACTGGGGAATGTGCCCCCAACCAAGGTAAATGCCCTTGACCAGAATCGAACCTGGGACTCTTCAGTTTGCAGGCCAACACTCTATCTATGGAGCCAAACCAGCCAGAGCAAAATTGTCTTTTCTTATTATATCTCACATTTGATTATAACCTTCCTAGATGAGAATTTTATATACTAAAACTTTTAGCACACTGTCTTACACATAATAATTGAATTGTTAAATTTTGATTTTGCACATTGAGTTATGTATCAAAATAATGTCCTGGGAATAGCAGTGTTTTGTAGGGACTGGAAAGACAATGTCTGGAGTGGTGGGACATGCTAACCTGAACAAAAGATTTTAAGTCATGAATTTGAAGTAAAACTAAATTATGTTTGGCCAAAACCGGTTTGGCTCAGTGGTAGAGCATGGGTCTGCGGACTGAAAGGTCCCAGATTCGATTCTGGTCAGGGGCATGTATGTTGGTTGCGGGCACATCCCCAGTAGGGGGTGTGCAAGAGGCAGTTGGTCGATGTTTCTCTCTCATCGGCATTTCTAGCTCTCTATCTCTCTCTCCCTTCCTCTCTGTAAAAAATCAATAAAATATATTTTTTTAAAAACTAAATTATGTTTTAGACAACAGCATTGTAGGTGACAAACACAAGTATAGGAATAGTTAGAAGAAAATACCTGAAGAACTGTTGGGGAATGACGTGACTTCAGGTGTCCATATGCCAGTGCAAAGAGAATGAGTTCAAAATTTTTTAAACAACAAGGTCAAAGCAATCATATAGAGATCATTCAAAGCTGGTAAGATGAGAACTATGCATAGACATCTTCTGATCATTTTTAATGTTCTTTGCGAATAAGGCAGAATGTGAAGAAATTTTGAGAGAAGAGAAATGAACAGTAATCATAACATTTAATATAATACTTCATGATAAAAATTAAATACTCTTACTAAGATCCTGTATAAAACCTTCTCATATCTTATGAAGTAGGAATTACTATTACCATCTTTTACTGATTAAATTATTCCAAGGGACAAAATAACTTCCAAATTTACTTAGCTTCCCTGTGATGCATCCATATGAGACTCTGCTCAATATCTTCTGGCTACAGATTCTCAACTTTTCTTGTGTTTCCTATGTAATGTAAGAGGTACACGGAGTTTTTAATGAGACTGAGGATGTGGGCAAATATTGATTAGGAATCTGTTGAATGAGCAATAGAAGCACTGATCTGGATAAAGTCAATGAAATAATATCTGGTTATGAGATGACCTCTCCTGCTTTCCCATTGCTTAGCCCTTTGCCATAAGATGAATGATCCTGGAATTGCTGACTTAATGTGCATTAACTGCACACTCAGATGGAAATTTGCGTGCAGCAGGCAGTCTGGTTTTGAAACTTTGAGAAATACAGCCACCTGTTGGACTTTGTTTGGTATCACACTTCTCTGGTCATCCTTTGTTTTTTAATGTTCTTTGCAAAAAGGCTGAGTGTTTTTCTTTCATAAGCAAAATTTAAAGAATAAATAAAAGGATGATTACCACAATTTTAGGAAAAATAAAGATAAGGCAGTGGAGCTCCTTATGTGGTCTGTTGAAAATATGGATCTATGTATTAATAATGTGCTTTCTCTAGATACTGGTATAGTCTAAGTAAGCTGGAAAAATAACTCATAAGGAAGTATAATGAATAAATTAATATTTTAAAAACCCCTTCCCTTGCAAAAAAAATTTAAAAAATAGGAATTCACTCTTTTTCACTCCACTCCACACTGGTCTTTAGAGCAAGGGTTGGAAAACTTGTTTTGTAAAGTTTTTCAAAAATTAAATAGTTAAGGCTTTGAAGGCTATAAGGTTTCTATTGAAACTACTCAACACCGTTGCCATAACACAAAATAAACCATAGATTATAGGTAAACAATGAGAAATAAAACTTTGTTGACAAAAACAGTTGGTGGGTCAGATTTGGCCCCTGGGTTATAGTTGTCTGATACCTGACCTAGAATACAGCAGGCAAGCTGTTCCCTCTGCCAGGAGCACTCTTTTTCCAAACACCCACATGGCTTATTCACTCATCTCCACAAGTCCTTGTTCAAACATCATCGTTTCAATGAGGCCTACCCTAACTATTCCATTTAAAATCTCAACTCTCAATTTCTCCTGCTTTCTTTTTCCATCACACTTAGCATATTCTAATATATTATTATGTTCTTTATTTATAATCTACCTCCTCCCACCAAAATGAAAGCTCCATTAGCACAGATTTGTATTTGCTTCATTTATGAAATATCCCAACAGTTATAGCAGTTCCTTATGTATAATAGATACTCAATACATATTTGTTGAATGAAAGAATGACTTGTAGTATTTGCTCAAAAAATAAATAAATAAAATATCCTCATTTTGTTCAAGAAACTGACTCCCAATGGGAGTAAAGTGAACCAAGAAACCAAGTGAACATTGCACAGTTTAAAATTTTTTTGTAAGCCTCTTTCTCACACATAAAAGTGGTAGAAATATTATTATTAAAGTCAATGATAAGATCAATGAATATATAGCCCAGTATAATTCCAAAAACTATATTTCATTTTACTTAAGCCTTACAATGACCTTATCACAGAAACAATGTCATCCCCATTTTATAGATAAGAAAACTGATTCTCAGAAAAATCAATAACTTAGTCACAAGATTGTATGAGACTGGACTAGAAGGTCGGCATATTGATTTTAAAGCCAATGCAGCTGTCAGCCAGCCTTACCTCATTCCCAGTCCCTGGAGAACTCCTCTTTCCATAGATAAATTAGCCTCAGCAACATCTCAATCCTTGGGACAAATTGACTTTATGTTAAAAGAATTTAATTAGCTTTTACTGAAACAGGGAACTCAACATCATTCACTTGAAATTAAAGAAGGGGCTAGAAGATTTCCCCCATTCTGATAACCTACTTTCTTTTTTGATTCAACAGCCTGATCCCTACTTCTAACCTAGTTGTTTAATACTTGGCCAACTCTTGTATACTCTGACCCTAATCCAAAGCTGGAGACATTACCAGCTCTTAGTGTCTCTCCCAGGGTCTAGACTTCTGCTCACTGCCTAAACCTCTGTTCCCTGATAAAAGAGTTCCTAGGTGTTGACTATTTCCCACTCCAGATTTCCAAATAGCACCCACTTCTAGATTCTTTAACCTTGTTTATGAATGGGACATCAATTCTTCGAATAATCTCTTCCCCAATCAAAAGTACCAACTTTTTCCCTATATCTCTTTTACATACAGTCTGTAACAATAACATCTGGTATTATATTCTCCTTTTATTGAAGATCTGCTGTTCCCAAAATGCTGCACTAAAACAAATTTCCATATAAAAGGCATAAAAGCTATTCTCTGCTTTCTATTGGACAGTTTTGGTCAAAATGCGGCCAATTAAGGGCTCTTTATGAAGTAAGACTTCCAGGTAGAAATGAAACTAAAAGTGTTCTTTCTATACTGTCTCCTGACTTATTATTTCTGAATAAAGAGTTCAACGTAAACTTACAGCAGTGATGATAAAGCAAAACAGTAATCTAAAATGGAGGAAGAAATAATGTGGCTTGAGGAAAACTTGGAGAAAGCAGAAAAGGGTAATTGAAAAAATAGAATAGGTCTGTGAAATCTCCAGCTTATATGACTAGAGAAAGAGTAATACCACTGATGAGAGAAAAGGAGTGATTGAAAAGTAGAGTAGGTGAGACACTGAAGATAAAATCAATTGATGAATGTAGATCATCAGAGAGGCAATTAAATATAAATTATTGTATTCTAGGGAAAATCACTGTAGACTTTCCAAAATTGCTTTTACCCTTATTGATGGTGACACCTGAGGTACTTTGATGCAGTATATTCATCTCTGATTTGACAAATGAAACTGAGACCTAAAGAGAAAATAACTAAGATTCGCCAGATCTGGAGCATGAACCCAACTCTCAGGACTCCTTGTCCAGTATGCTTTCCACTTGAACATCTGGCCTTTCAGGCCAACTGTAAAAATTGATAACTTCATCTGAATGTGATTCAGCTAAAGTCATTCAAGTCAATATAATACAGAGAGAACCTGGCCAAATAACTTCTTAGGAGTAAAATTAATGTTTTAAAATTAATTAGTACAAAGTTAAAGTTTAAATACCTTGATATTTTGTTTCATGAGAGAATAAAATATTTGTGGAAAAATTTATCAAATAGAAGTATTCCAGAAGTAGGTTGGTCAATCTGTTTGTCTCCAAGCATCCACAAATTCCTATTGACTAAATTAAACTCCATGAACAAGAACCCAACCTCTGTACTTTCCCATCACTAATAACCAAACATTCATTTTTTTGCATGATTTTTTTTCAAATGTCAGTGATATGAATGATTGTCTTTGAAATGGCCCAATTAGTTACATTTAAAGCCAACATCTGCTGGTACTTTTATTTAATTTCCAAAGCAATTAAAGTATTTTGCCCTCTGGTGTGTTTCTAATAAAGATAATAATATTTTAGACATAAATCAATACATTGTACTTACATAAAAGTTTTCACCTGAGAATGCAGCATGTCTTGGCTTTAAATTCTCTATTGAACTGATTTCTGCTTATCTTGGCCTATGGGAAATGCTATTCTGACTTTACCAAAGAGAACCCAAAGTCCAAGACTTGTCTAATGAAACAATGCATTAATGACAGTTCTTTGAAGAGGAATCAGGGCATT